TATATATATATATATATATGTATATATATGCTTCTGATGCAACTGTCTAATCTTCATCATGGGGCTTCTTAGTGCTGCCGTTAAGTGGCATCTATTCCTCAGTGAATATACTTGCGCTGTAATGCTGTTTTAGAAGAGAAGATTGTTTCAATCTGTTGCAGGCATGTTATTGTGCCTGTAGATAGAGTCCCTCGGGCATTGAGGATTACAGAGTCAGCTTTCACGGCTATGCTGACAATACATAATTGCACTGTGTATGTATCTATTGCAGCAGATTATGCTGATGCTCGGGACTCATTTACTGTTTGTGTAGACAGCAAAATGGATGCATGGTAGTTTCCTTTAAATTATACAAATTTAACACACAAATGTTTATGTCCAGGAGTTTTGTTCTGCATGTCAAACCAAATCTCAACAAATTTGATGACCACCTTGAGGCTAAATCACATTTTACCCCATATCAGTACTGATGGATGGAGTTACAATATCTTAATATAAATATTGTCACACACATTTATCATATCTGACAAATCACATCCATCTTTAGAGGAAACTGAAAATGACACATGCTTTTATATTTACAGATGTTACAGTGGTAGTGTTTTAATTTGACTACATGTTCATAGAGCTAGACATTTAGTAAAACCACACCATAGTGTGCATTATGGTTGTATGATTACTCATATTTTTATTCTTGTGTGAGTTTCCACATTCAACACAGCAGGAAGTGCTGTGATAACAGAACGGCTTAAAAGTTGAAAAAATATTGCCAATAAAATTGCCATTTTTCTCTGGTAAAGCAGAGATTCTTTCTTAACTATGCAAATGTATTAAGTATCCTCATTACAGTAGGACCATAGAGAAAAAACATCCACACATCCCAAAACACCTCTGTAATCCTTTAGACTGAAGAGATTAGTGTTGTTCGCTAACAAAGATTGTTCCATCTCTGTTCCAAGTTTTGTGTAAAATATTTCGAACAGTGGTGGCTTTTAAAAGCAAATGTACTTTTGAGTACTTACTGATATGTACTGAATCTCTACTGGCATGCACTACATGTTGTGTACTAAAAAGGGTATACAAGGCAGTTGTGATACCCTACGTAAAGCACTTAAGTAGTCAGTGGGACGTCATTTGGGATTCAGCCTGTCAATGGGGCATACAAAATACAACTCAAAAATGACAAAATTTATATTATAGTACACCTTAAAATTTTTCAGTATAAGTATATTGAGTTTACTAATTTTTATACCCTCTATGTAACAGCTATTTAGTTGTTTCTGGCTAAATTGGGGTAGAAAGTGTTCTTGTAAGCTGATCTCTCAAAGTCAAGTCAGGTCACCTTAATTCGTATAGCACATTTAAAAATGTCAAAGTGCTGCACAGGAAAACCAAATTAAAATGAAATTAGATTATGGTTTGAAATCTCCTCTCTAAATACAATTTAAAAAAAAGCTTGACAAAGATATTATGATCATATCATAATATCTTTGCCAAGCTTTTTTAATTGTATTTAGAGAAGAGATTATGATCTTATACACTGGATTGAAACTTGCTCACATAAATCCATAATGACTAATTTAATGGCGACCGAATGTAAACACACCTTTAATATACTAAAAAATAACAAAGTTCTATAGTGATATTACTACTACTGTTGTTGTTCTTTCAGCTGCTCCCATTGGGGTTGCCACAGCGGCTCACTGGTCCGCATATTTGATTCGGCACAGTTTTTAAGGCGGAAGCCCTTCCTGATGCAACCCTCCCCAATTTTTGTCCGGGCTTGGGACCAACACGTGCACCCCCAGCTGCTGGGGTTGGTTCCCTGGCCAGGAATCGAACCTGGGCCTCGATGGTGAGAGCTCTGTAGCTTAACCACATGGCCTCCAGGGACCCTAGTGATGTCGTTACTATTACAAAACAAACTAATGGTTTACTTGGCTCCTAGTGTATTTCAAGAGTACATCTTCTCTTCAAGTTTATGTTGGTATTCTTGCAGTAAACTTGTATAAACCAGTAGTACACTTGAATATTTACACTTGATTATCAAAATTAAAAAGAAGCACATATTAAAAGTATACAATTCTAGTATATCAGTATACATATATATAAAAAAATCATAGCTCTCTGCAGTTACAAGGGCAAATAATTGTGTCTGGTGTCATTTTTGTGTGGAAATTAACTTGAATTCTAGGTTTGTTTTGTGTTCCAATGAATCATTTCAGTCTGAAATGCTGACTGCACCCTCATAAACATACACATTTTTCTACTTTTGTTTTTATCTTTTTTTTTTTTCCTGGGAAATGATGAACAACAGATTAAACTTGTTTCTCTTGTATTTACCAGACTGTATATGTTGTGCTCCACTGGCATTTTTCTATAGAATTGCTATATTTGCTAAGGACAAAAAGGTATCCTCTGAAATGCATTATTTTTCCTCCAATTACAATCTTAAAAATTCTGACTGGTTGCTCATGGTTTCTCATAGTGAGGAGTTCCAGTGATTATACTCTGTGTACTGCATTTAGAGATTGTAGAGACAGGGTGTCTTTGTACTTTTACATTTGTTAATAGAACTCCTATTGTGAGACTGTGTCTCACCCTGAGCTGTGCAAGGATTTGAGCTCATACCTTATCAATCACGATAAACCAGAGCTGTAACTGTTGAGCCACCACTGCCCAGATGGAAATGTAAAAATAATTTTTCAAAAAATGCGAATTTTGCCAAAGCACTGAGACTGAGATGCAGTACTGCACTATGATATATGTACTACATACTACTGACAAATACCAGAATTTCCCTTTAACTGCTTGGCATGAGGGTTCACTGTGTCACAATTCTTGAGTTTCTCTTCAGGAAATAGTAGTACATGTGGCTTGTGTAGAAAATTGCATCCTCCTCAACAGACATCTTGATGCCCTGCTGATGGCATTGCTGTGTTAATTTCTGACTAGTTCCCATCTGGAGATGATGCTCTCACAGAAGATCCAACGTCTCAAGAACTCCTCATGTGTATGATCCAGGTTTTGAAATTCAGTCCACTGTGTACCAAGCACTGCTTAAATCAAACAGCTTTCATCTGGCTCACCAGGAATACAGACACTCCCCTTGAATGATAAACAGCAGAGCAGATTTGGAATCAAAAGGAGAAATTGAGCAATGCTCTCTAGCTTAAATGCGACTGAGATCTAGTTCCTCATCAGGAAGCAGTTACCTGTCATCTAAACAATGGATGTAATCAAGTAGTTTCAGCTGACTTGTCTGTTCTCTGTGAGATTTCTGTTTGCATGAGAATGAGTAGGTTTAGAGTGGCATGTAATTTCTGACTCTGTAACATTCTTACCTTATTCTCAATACTGCACTTTGAGGCCAGGTTAGTGTATGCCTTTTGCTTGTGTAATGATCAGGATTGAATGTAGCGCAAACATGATAGTAGATCTTAAGATTATGTTTCATAATGATGAATATTCAATCCACTTCATTGTTAACACAAACTGAAGACCTACCTGTCCAGTCAGTCTTATAGAGTGTAGAAGTAGTGGTTCAAATGTATGGAGTGTTTTGGTGAAATAAGTGGTCTGTTCTGCTTCCACTCTATTCACAGGTGTTCAATTGAGATTGTTAATGTCTTTTCAAGAACACCTTCATGCCCTGCTTGTTTCTGCTCTTGCCCCTCTGAGGCGCATAAACGCTTGCTCCATCAAGCTTCACTGACAGCTGACCATAACCGTCTTGTTTATGTATGGTAGATTAATTCCAGAGTATATTGGTATCCTTATTCAAAATCAGAATCTCAATACAAAATAGTCAACCATGAATTCATGTTATATATGTATACAGTAACTCAAATTTTTAGAATATGTAATATAAAAATAACTGATTTCTGCCTCCTGATTCTTCCTAATGTTGCTTTCTCCTCAGCTCCATCCTGCTGAATTTTTCTTTCACCCTTGACTTGCTCACTGTGTGTTAAAATGCTAATGTGTTTTAATAAAACACTAAGCTTAATTTTTGCTTAATATATTCGTGCTTAATTGGATAAATTATAGACATGAATGTAACTGAAATATTTACTATGCAAATGTAATATTTGGCTCTATTATATATAGAGTGCCAATTTTTAATTAAACTGTGTTTAATAATAAAAAGTTCTTCAGTAAAATAAATAGAATGTAGGTATTTTGTTTTAAATATTTTTTTTTTGTTTATTACATTGCTCCTCATATATTAACTACTTAATTATGTAGTTAGCCTTACTATATTAAAATGTAGACATAATAAATATTCAAATCTGGAGAAGTATGCAAGTTCTCAGTAATATGGGAGAAGTTCTGTCATGTTCCCTGAATGTGCATCACATTGTGCCAAAGTGAGAGCAGTTGTAGGAGCTCAGAGCTTTACTTGGCAGGCTTTTAGTTGGGTAATGTAATGAACTTATACTACTGTCAGTCAAAACTGCTGGCCCACTTTCACATGGAAGCCCTCAGCACTCATAATAAACCAGCTTTATCTGTAATGGCTCTCATTTTGGATTTTGGGATGTTCTAAGAATTTATGGAGAGTATTTTCACCTATCAGTGGTGTTATTCATACTGCAGTCTCATCAATTGTGACTAGGCAAAGATTTATTCATTGTAAGCTAGGCTCTTTGGAAAATTCTCCTGGTGACACTATAATGACTATTGAAATGGAAATGAAGATGTGAAGTTTAAAGCACTGTAGGAGGAGACAGCTGCATGACTGATATGCTTTAGTGTTAGTGAGAGGTGTGAACCTAAACCCAGCTGGGCTTCAGTGATCTGTTGAGTGTTGTAAGATGATTGCCCTTGATTGAATATTCAATCAAATATTCTTCCAAATTAAAACACAAGTGTCAGATCTCACATGGATATTAAAAGATGTTTTGAATCATACCTCCCATGTTATTTGGCCGTTGCATAACTGCCTTTTGGATATTGGCAGCAGATCACATTGAAACTGAGCTGGCCACAAAATTCTGTGATTAACAGCAAATCTGTGAAATATGGCAATAACACATTTGTCAGTCAAAGCTGTTGAAGCTTGCAAAAGGTGAAAACAGAATGTCCGCACTTCTTGAATGATGCACAACATATTTTTTATTCAATTTCTTTTTTGTAAATGTCATGTTTCTCTCTTTGATTTTGGATCTGGTTCGAAGGAGTATTTTTTTCTCCTCTTTGAAACACTCCCTCACTGTAGTTGTGCTTAAAATTCGGTGGGAGCATACGTCCGACACATACTTGCTGTGCCTTGCTTTACTGAGAACTGACTTTAATGGAAAATGAAAGATGAAGAATAACTAACTTAATATGTGTAGGATAATTTAGATTCACCATCTAGTAGCTTTTAGAAAAAAGCATTGCTGGAACATTTTTAAAATGTCCCAAACAGCAAAGCCACAAACCTACTAGTTTTTTGTTTAAGAAAATATGCACAAGTAACATTGTTAACCTTATTCTTATATTTCAGGACAGTATCACAGTACCACCAATGCAAAATCACCTTTCTTTGTGAAGACAAGTCTACTGTCTCAGTGCTTCTTCATCTGCTTCCTGATGATTATTGCTGAATTGTGTGCTCAATAATTATGTTGCACACCCTTATGTAGAATTTAAAATAACTTTTTTTTTTTTAAATCAGCCTAATAGAACCAGAAGTTGTTATTGTTATTTTATAATGTAATCAACTAAATTCTTAACAACATTTAATCAACCTTAATCTAAAGATTATTCATTAACAACCACAAATTGGTGGTTCTCTTGACACTACTTTTATGCTGTTCTCACAAATGCAGCATTTTACTGAGTAGTCTGTTGTATGCTGTTGTAAGCTGTATGTTTCTGATTGATGATCCTCACTGCCTCTTATTCGCTTCCAGTTTAGTTGGGAATTTCATATGTCTTCATTAGCTACTCTGACACTTTTATTAGATGAACAAATTAATATTTATCAAGCCTGTGGGTCTCATGTAGGGTTTGTTGTATAGAAATGTATTTAGGCTAAATTAGAGCCCTTGCTTAAAATGTAATATTTTATGCAGACATAAGGTTTTAAATTGAAATATACTGTACACTGACTTCGTTTATAAAGCTGCATTTACATGGTCTGGGTAGTGATAATCCAACGTTTCATATGTTAGACTTCTGAAACTGGTACTCTTCCTCCTTCTGTATGGGTGCTGAGGTTAGGTTTGGCTATGTAGATGTCATCAATCCCTCGAGATCCCAGTAACCGTAAACAAAAACATTCTTCCAAATGGCAGTTTAAAGGTGAAACTGAGGTGAAGGAGGGAAGATGACCTGCATAAGAGGGCGGGAGAGGGAAAGGGAAAAAAGTGGATCAGAAAATATATTAGTGAGAAAAAAAGAAGGAGTCAAGGACACAGATGTATCTACAAACAGTACAGAAGCAGAACCTCCTGTGAAAACTTGCTGTGGGCTGGATCCTAGCCTGAACTTGGAGAACATTATGAACTCTGAGCTCTGACTCCTGAATGTAGAGTGCTGGTATGTTGATTCATGGCATTCCTGAGGGAGAAATTTGGCTGACATCATGTGGGAGGGATGGTATATACTTCACCTCAAGTCACAAGCCTAAGTCACATGAGACATGATAGAGTGTTTTGCTAATGTGATAATGATTAACAAATGAACTATTATACAGCATTAATACTGATTTCAAGGATCAAAAATATCAGCTAATATCATTTAAAATGGGCAATAATTAATATGATCAGGGCTTTTTATGTATGGAGTCTAACTAATGAGTGAGTTTTTCCATTCATTCCTGGAAACATTATCAGTGCTTTATTGTGATTATTGATTTCCAATGATTTCAATAAGTCTATGTGTGGATTTATAAAAAATCTTTA